TGGTGAATTTGAAGTAGAGATGGCTGCTGCATAGACACTTGGAGAGAATGAGGTTGTCTTGCAGATCCTTACTTAGATCTATTCGCTTGGCTGGCGACATTTCAGCAACACCTTGAAGTGAGATGGGGTTTGTGTAATCCCTAAGTATGGTGTAAAATTTGGGGCTTGTGATTTATCTGGCCATGATAACTGGAAATTTCTCAGAATGCTGGTGAAGAAGAGGAAGAGCTCCATCCGAGCCAGGATTTCCCCTAAGCAGGCTCTTGGTCCTGAAAAGTCAAAGTGAAGGAGAAGAGAGGAGCATTCAGCCAGCTGTTGGCTCGAAACTTTTTCAACTACTGGATCTGTTTGGTTCTCCACACAATGATCCCAAATCTCACCAGGTTGCCAAAATTTCTGAGGTTTTTTGCCTTCTTCCCCTCTTTAAAGGACTTCCCTTGAGTGACTCAATGCAGCAAGTCTTCTATTGCTTAGACTGATATTCTCAGGTCGATATTCACTTCCTTCCTCTCTCAGTTCAGTTCCTCTTTTCCTGCCTGACTCTGACCTGTGTAGTTCAGGCACTTACCTGTCTCGTTCTTTCTCCATCAGGCCGAGAGTGCAATTCAGGCTCTCAGCTGTACAAACACCTAACTAACTCAGCCTTTCTTGTGACAGGCCATTTTCCTCAATAAAGATTATGTTTCATATTCTTTCAAGCTTGCAATGATGCAAAACCTTCTGGCCCAGAATAGTGAAAATATTCCAATTGCTGCAATTCTTGCAATCTGATCCCTCTCCTTACAGTACAGGTAGTCCTCATTTAGTGATCACAATTTGGACCTGCAACTCCTGTTGTGAAACAAAGCAGTTGCTAAGTGAAACTACAACTATGTTTTTTATTGTATTTCAACTTTCCTTTGCTTTGTGAACCTGTGAAACTTGTAAATGCGAGGATTGGTCACAAAGTTACTTTTTCATCAACATCATAACTGTGAATAGTTTCTAAATGAGGCAGTCACTAAATGAGGGCTGCCTGTAAATACTACTAGAGAAAACATCCTGTGAGCATCTTGCCTGGAAGAATCTATATCCACTGAGGCAGCTGCTAAGAGCCAGACACGAGGATTGTCTGAAGGTGGGTCAGGAATTTACTATTTGCTTTATCTTATCCAAGCATCTCCAAGGAGACATTCACACAGAAAACCTCCCACCATGCTTTCATAGACACAGGTAACAATGTTCCCAAGGTGAATTTCATGGGCACAAAACCATGTTTCCATATGGGACCCTGAACTATAAGCTTCAGGAGGTGACTTCCATAAGTCTCTAAAGAAAGGTTAGGAAATTTGGAGTTCAGGTGTGGTATAAGAATTGCCACTAAAAGTGTGTGTGTGTGAGAGAGAGAGGGAGAGAGGGAGAATAATTTACCTGCTGAAAATGCCAAAAAGGCTTCCGGCTTCACAAACTCTCCCTTTTCATTCAGGAAGTTGGAGGGGTTGAACTCATCTGGGAACTTCCACTGAGATTCATCACAATGGGCAGACTGGAGATTGACAAAAACCATGGTGTCCTGAACAAGCCAAGACAAGGAGGTCAGGTGGAAGAATGCCCTCGTGGTCAGACCTGGCTCAGAATGCTACTGGCTAAGCTTTCAGATAGACCCCATTGAGCTGTGGTTGAAGAACAGGTGATGAGGGTGAGAAGGAACAGGGAGGAGTTACAGATCAAAAAAAGCTTAACTAAGTATTTGGAAAAAGAGAGACAGAAACCAAGGTAGGAGATGTGGTCAGATACTGCACCATGAGCTATCAGCCACCATTCATAAGATTTGCTCAGATTTCAGAAGCCACTTTAGGACTTTAGGGAATGACAGGATGCCAACTTGCCAAAGTACACAACAGAAAAATTGGTCAATAAGCTTATTGCACTTCCATAAAAGGAGGTCCAGATGCAAGTCCTCTTATCATTTGACTGTGACTTTGTCTTCCCTCCATATGAAAGAACAGGATTGACCCCAACTTCTTGCTTTCCCTTGCTCTTACACACACCTCAGGTCAGAAAGATACAGAGGGACACATGCAG